CCTTTTGAGATTTGTCCCTGGGCAAAGCTATCTTTTTAATCACATGATTGGTTGCTCTGATGAGTGGGTGCCTCCCGGTGTTATTGGTCACTTTGAATACCTTCTAATCCAGTGGTTCTCAACCTTCCTAATACTGTGACCCTTTAATACAGTTCATATTGTGGTGACCCCCCCAAACATAAAATTATGCTGCTTCATCACTGTAATTTGGCTACTGTTATGAATCAGGTGACCCCTGTGAAAGGGTCATTTGACCTTCAAGGGGGTCGCGACCCACAGGTTGAGAACCACTGTTCTAACTGTTTGGTTGGAAGTTGAGCCACAGGGGTGAGTTCAGTCCTAAGGCTGAAGGGTATCTAAGGGCTATAGTCCTGTGGATTCCATCAGTCTCTATCATATAAGTAAGCCTGGCCTTTTATATTTTGAATTTTGTTCCATTGTTTTCTCCCACCAGGAGAGTCAATTGGGATCTCTTTCAGATTGGCCAGCAGTCACAGCTGGGAACACATTTAGTTCTGGCCTCAGGGTCATGGATTTCACAAGAGCCCTTAGTCCTTGGACTAATTTCTTCATTGCATCTTTGATTTTATTAACCATTTTTTTGCTCTGGATGGGAAGCTTTTAAGACCCAAATCACTACTCACCAAAGTAGGATGCAGAACACAGTCCTTATGGACTGTGATTTCCTGAGGGCCCGCAAAGACAATGGCCCTGAGTCATCGGGCCCAAAGACTCCTTCCCTCAGGTTAAGATGTTTTCATAACTGTGCACCTTGCATGCTGTACTATACTCATGAACATACTTGCTTTTTTCTCTTTAACAGTTTTATTGGTATATAATTTGTGTACCATGCAATTCAGTGGTTAAATATATTCACAGAATTGTGCAATTGTCACCACAATACATTTTAGAACATTTTCTAAAAAATCTTGTATGCATTATTATCAACTCCCCACTCCCCCCAACCTTCCCTGCCATAATTCTAAGGAACTATTAATCTACTTAATGTCTCAATGGATTACCCATCATGGATTCATATAAAGAAAATCAAACAAAAACTCCAATGACAACAAAATAAAACATAGGAAGACCTCAACTCATGGATATATTTGAAGCACATACAAGTATAGGTGTACAAATAACCTTTGTTAAACTTCTGTATATCTATGGATTAGTCCCATTTACCTTCCCATTCCTGTTCAGTGTGAGTGGATATCTGTACATGTACTTGTAGATTATTGTTACGACAAGATTGTCTACACAATAGCAGTTACCTTAGTTGCCCTTCACCCTCATTCTCCTCACAGCATCTTCTTTTGCCTTGGGGGCTTTATGCTGACCCCCCCCCCTTTTTTTTAAAAAGTTTTCAAGGCTATGGCCTTTGTTTTTTAAATTTAAAGATCTTTTTATTTGGGGCTCTTACAGCTCTTATAACAACCATACATCAATTGTATCAAACTTATTTGTACATATGTTGCCATCATTATTTTC